AGCAAACGTTTGCTGGATGTTCCAGATACTGTTCCCAGCACGTGACTTTCACAGTCTTATTTAATCCGAGCCACAACCCTGTGGCATAAGCATGATCTTTATTTCCATTTACAGGTGAAGATGCCGAGAACCAGAGAGGTCAAGTTACCTGCTTGGGATTACTTGGCCGACCCTAAGAACAGTTGCTAGCCTCAGGAGGCTTCTTAATTCCTCTGGACGCCAGTCACCTCAGACTTGAAGTGAGGGCAGTGGACGCTGTGATCTACAAGATCACCTACAGTTTGGAAAATCTGTGACTAAAATGCAATGCCTGTAAACGGGGGAGCAGCAAGTACACCTTTTTTTTAAAGGCTGTATGACTTGGTGTTGACTTGTACAAGGGAGGTGCTGCTAAGGATGCACCCCCTCCGATGGTCTCGGCCCCCCCATCTTCCTGGACACAGGCCAGCCACGGTGGCTCAGAGAAGAGGTGGGGCCCCTCTGAGGCGGCAAAGCACAGCAGATCGCCAGGGCTAAGCAGGCTGTTGGGTGAAGAAACAGATCAGGGAGGTACCGACTCCGTCTCTGTCTCCTTTTGTCCTCTTACTGTGCACACATCCAGAGACAGTGAGTCCCAGCCATTTGACCTGCCACTCAGCTTGTGTTTCTCTCTCCTCCTTCCACTACCTCCATCTAGTTTGGGTCTTAAGAACTTCTTTGGTTTGCTGCTGTGACCTCCCCAACCTCTTTCTAGTTCACCTTACATCAAACTGTCAAATTTATTATATTCATCACAGTCTGGTCCCGCAAATCCAAACACCGCCCACTTCCCCATCTCTTTCATCCCCTTCTCATTCTTCATCCTTCATGTTCTGGTCCCAAACTCTCCTCATTCTCATTTCCTACTGTGTTTGAAAACCATCCCGCCCCACCCCCATCTGTGTCCGTGGAAAACCTCTTAGACTCAGTGCAAACGTCATGGCTTTTCTAAGGCTTTCCCAAATATTCACAAACTTAATTCCCCATAGTACCTCCTGGTGCCTCTGCTTTAGCAGATCATGACCAAACTTGCATTTAACACTATTTTTGTATATCTGTTTCCGACTGGCTGTGAGCCCCAGGAAAGGAGGGGTCCCACGTTTTCACAATTCTCGCAGAGGCCAGTACCAGCCTTTCACTGCGGGCTCTGGGTCGCTATTGAACATGTGAAAGAGGGTAGAAATGTCCAGGCTGTGTTGATCGAGGTTGAACAATGTGAGCCAACACTGTCCATGTTAGACTAAGAACAGGAATGTATAGGGTCTATTTTGCTGAAGCCAGGTGTCAGTGCTGGGCAAAGAAACTGATAGCAGCTCCTGTGGAGTTTTCTGCTCCTGGGCTTCCACGCCGGTGGTGGTTATCTGTATCCTCCTGTCTGTCTCTAATTTGCGTGGGCAGGTGTTTGCCCTGTGACTTCAGTTCTCTGATGGATTTAAGAAACGTTATTGATTTTTGGTTTGTTTAGCATTTTTCATTTTGTGTGGATGGGAGTGATGACTTCTAAGTTTCGCACACACGGGAGAGGAAACCGGAAGTCTCTTTAGGGTCTATTTCGGAATACAAAAGGATAAGATGAAAGAGAGGCGAGTTCAAGATTTGCACATACGAACTATTATCTATAAAGCAGATAAGCAGCAAGTTTCTACTGTATAGCACAGGGAACTCTATTCAATATCTTGTAGTAACCTATAATGAAAAGGAGTATGAAAAGGAATATATGTATATATCTGTGTGACTGAAACATGATGCTGTACACCAGAAATTGACACAGCATTGCAAAGTGACTATACTTCATTAAAATAAGTACATAAAATACAACAGTATATTCAAACAGAGAGAGAGAAAAGAAAGCGAGGAGAGGTCCCGGGACACCGCTGGGTGCTTGTACAGTGGAAGTTCACGGCTCAGGAGTCCTGCTGTTGACACAACTCTGCATCGACACGGCCCCGGCTCCGCAGTGTCTCCCTCCCATAACTCACATTCTAGGGAGGGGCCGCGGCGGGGTTAGCTCCTGTCGGCTGAAATAAATGCACAGCCTAAAAGTTAAAAGAGTTATGTTTTATTTGGCGGGAGGACTCTAGCCGGGATGACAGCCTCTCAGATGCTCTGAGGGACTGCTCTGAAGAGGTAGGGGAGGAGCTGGGATATATAGGAGCTTTACAACAAAGACCAGGTAGTTGGAACAACAAAAGATTACTTGTTATCTAAAGAAAACCAGGCATCTCAAGTTCAAGGATTTAGTGCTTTTCTATGTATGGGAGGAAGCAAACATTCGGGCTCACTGAGTTCATTCCTTTGACAAGCACCTGGCTATCTAGGGCCAGTATCCTGTCCTTTCTTATTCTGAGTCTGCTCAGAGGGCACCATTTGAGTGGCTGCAGAGGCTGGGCTGCAGGCCTGTCCCCACTTGGGGGTGGTGGCAGCCACTGAGGACTTGGTTTCAGCATTCTTTATTTACTGATGTAGTTTCAGTATTTTCACTCACATTGCAGTATTTTCGTTCACACTCCCCTGGATTAATCATCTACAGACAAGGCCCCTGTGTGGGGTCACATAGGGTGGATGTGGCCTCTGGGGCCCAGCCCTGTTGTCTGCTCCTCAGAGAAGGAGGAGTCTTTCTGAGCTGAGAAGACTCACAAGCATCACCTACCTCACAGTCAGAGGTCCCTGCTCGAAATGTTTGGCAGAAAGGGGAAAGAATAAGTTAACCTCTACAGGAGGCAGATGCTGAGAAAGAGAAGAGCTGTTACTGACCAATCCCCAAAAGATGGCGAATGAGAACAAGTCTGTGCTTTAAAAAAACTAAAAACTTAGTAACTTCGTCTACAGTATTTTGTGGGCTGGAGAGGTGGAGGCTGGAGGAGGCGAAAGTATACACAGCAAAGAAGTTGATCTTAAACCCACTGCTGATGTGGATCATGTATTTGCTGTCAATTCCAGGGAATGTTCTCTTCTCATGTTGGTGGAAATGCGAGGGTGTGATTAAAGTTAAGTCAGTAGGATGGGAAGCTGGGAGGAAAGGGGGTCAAGTAAGAAGGGTTAGGGTGGAGGGGCACATCCTTGGGGGCTGGGACAGGGCTCCAGCTGTCACAGCAGCTTCTGAAAGCAGATCCACTGCTAGCAGGATTTCGTGGAGCAAAGAAGGGATCAGGGCAACTGCTTGGGTGATGGTGGTGATGTGTTCAAGGCAGAAGGAGGGCTTCTCTCTCCCTCCAAGACCACAGGGAAGACAGAGCTTAGCTGCACAGACAGGCAATATGGAGCCCAGAAGGGTGGGGCAGGACTGATCCCACACCACAAGCCTGACACTCAATTACTTCTTTCAGGTTGAGTATTATTCCTGTTTTAGCTTCTCAGGGCTGCTGTAGCAAAGTATCACAAACTAGGTGGCTTAAACCACAGGAATTCATCACCTCACACTTCTGGAGGCTGGAAGTCTGAGATCAAGGTGTGGTGTCAGCAGGGTTAATGCCGTCTAACGGCTCTGAGGGGGAGTCTGCTCCATGACTCTCCCTCAGCTCCTGATGGCTTGCTGACAGTCTGTGGTGTTCCTGGCTTGTAGATTTATCACTCCAGTCTCTGCCTTCATCTTCACGTGGTGTTTATCCTGTGCCTTTACATGGTTATCGCCTTACAAGGACACTAATATTGGATTAGAGGTCCATCTCACTCTATTGTGACAGCTTCTTAATTAATTATACCTGCAACTACCCTATTTCCACATAAGGTCATATCCTGAGTTATTTATTGGGTTACATTCTGAGTCACATATTTGTTTTGGGCGGGGTGGACACAATTCAACCAACAAGCTTCCTTCTTATAAAACAGCAGGCTGGGGCTCAGAGAAGCTAAATGCATTGCTATGGTCATCCAACTTATGAGAGTCAGAGTTAGAATTTAAACCCATGTCTCACTCTAAAACTGATACGCTCTCGTCTTCTCTGTAGATGGAGGGTTGCTGAAGAGAAAACGGAAAGTTCAAGAGAGAGAAGCTTAGCAGTCGTCGATGTGGGCACTGAGCTGGCGAAGCAGCGGCAGGGCTACTGGCAAGGGGCCAGGGCTCAGTCAAGCTGGAGGACATAAAATTTTCATGGCAGGTCTGCACAATTAAATGTCAGTCGATCTATTTTAACAACTCACAATCTTTATGCACCTTAGGATGGGAATGGCAGTTTTGAGAGTTGAGAAGTCCTGCTCCAGCCTTTGGGGGAAAGCTGATGAGTGCTATTTTTAGAGCAGAAGATCAAAAAAGGAAGATGATGGCAACAGCAATGACTAATATCTCCACAGTGCTTCACAGTTTACACGGGACGTTCACCCTGTGCGGTTCACCTGTGGCTGTCCTTAATTTACCGACGAGGAAGGTAAGGCACAGAGAAGGAATCGCGTGGCTTACCCAGGACCTCCCCGCTGGTGTGGGAGGGTGGCCAGGGTTTTGTCCTGTCCTCTGTCCACAGAACCCCCTCAGAGGCCTTCTTTAGAAATGAAGCTGAAGCAGTGAGAAGTAGGGGACATCACTAAGAGAGAGCACAGTGTGGAGAAAAAAGGGAAGCGGGAGAAAGCCTGGTCCGCCAAGACCATGTTTTGACATCATGGAAGAGACAAAGGCATCAGTGGATTCACACCGGACAGAATCACAGAATCAAGGGAGAAAGAGATGGTGATAAACAGCGTCCAATGCTGGGGGGAAGATCAAGAGAATGAAGACAGAGAAAATGTCATCGGATTTGGAAGTGATTCACTCACTGGTGACCTCTCCAAGGAGAGCAGTGGGAGGAAGCTGGAGTGTGGGGGGTGGGGTCAAGGAAACGGGATGATGAGTGGCTCCATTTTTCATTCAGAAAGTTTGGCAGGGCAAGGGAAGAGAGCACAGGCTCTTAGCTGGAGGGCACAGCAGGACCCAGCGAAGGTTTTTCCAAGGGGGAGGAAAGGGGACCTGGGCATGTCTGGAATACATCTGATTTCAAGACTGGCCTCTGTTTCCAGATGTGCCACAGTCCACAATGAATACAATGACATCTCCATCTGTCAGCCGAGCTGTAGGGCTTCTGCTCCCACAAAGGCGTCCATGTTTGCTCACAGATGTTATTAATTTCATTGCATTGTAGTGGACAGTATATTGCCTCGCACTTATCTGAGGAGTCCCTACGCAGGATCTGTATCTACCTTACCAGGCAGCAACAGTTATTGCAGAGTGACCAAGAGCTCGGTGATTAAATGAGGCAGATCTGGGTGTGAAGGCTGGCTCAACCAGCCAGGCAGCCTAGGGCCAGTGAATGTCCCTTAACCTCAGTTTCTCATCTGGAAATCAGGTGTTCTGTCTCTCACAGAGTGTTGCCAATAGCATTAAATGAGCTCATTTGTGCCCAGTGCTGAACACAATGACTGAAACATAAATGCTCAGTCCACGGCAACTGTTAGGAGTCTCGGGTGGAGCGGTGCAAGCATTCAGTGCTACTCACTCTCTGGTTCTTTAAATCCAGGATGGGGTGGGGCGGGGGGTGGGGCAGGATTTGTTTTTACCTTTTGAGCCTCCACACGGTCAGTGTGGATCATTTTCCCAGGGTCTTTAGATCAGAGGCTGAGGGTGCTGGGCTGGCTCCCCCTCCCCCACTCAGTCCTCCTCCACTATCGGTTGACCTCTGTGCATGTGTGTGTGTGTGTGTGTGTGAAAAGAGAGCTTGAGTTCTTTTCAGACTGATCTGGGATGACAGGAGGAGGGGGGAGCAAAGAGGAGAGAAGGAAGGACACCAAATAGAATCTCTTTCGTATCTAAAAACTACCCGACCACACACACACACACACACACACACACACACACGCACGCATTTAGTTTCTCTCTGTCCAGTCTGTGTCCACAGGCCTTCCTTTCTGAGGCCTTGGAAACAAAGCTAAGAACATTCCTGAGAATTTCTACTTTTATACGCATTAAAGATGATCAAATCCGACTGAAGCCTCACAGCTCCTCCTCAGCCTATAAAATCCTGAATGGATTAGGTACTAGGAAAAATAACGGAATTGTAAGAAATTTTTTGAAGTTTCAGAACAGCTCTCAGTTTGAGGGGAATAGACGGGTGGAGGGAGGAAGCCAGGGCAGAGGTGCTGAGTAGCTGCAGGCCAGACCTCCCCAGAAACCCAGACGGACAGAAACAAATACCCATGCCCACTGCGATTTTCTTTCAAGTTTTCTCGGCTCTTCACAAATACCACTTCTCCTTTGATCAGAGTTTCTTCTGAAGACCCAGGGGGAAGATAGAACAGGCATCCTGCTGCTCTCACCCCATTTTATCTCATCGAGACCCACTGCTGATTAGGAGAAGGCCACTTGGCCAGGGAGCCCGCACAGCTCCAGCCCTGGAATGCGCTCGCTCCCGTCCTCTCCGCTGTCACGGGAAGAGTGATTGCCTCTCGGGAGTGTGAAGATAAACAGATTTCTCTGTCTGCAGAGCTTGTTCCCAGCACCACCTACCCACCCCTGCTCTGGAAGGATCCTTCTGGCCATTCCCCTGCTTTAAAAACAACCCCCAACATGACAGCCCGGCACCCAGACTCTTTCTGCAGTTACATGCTTCTTGTCATCTCAGGATCCCTGGGGGGCGGGGGGGGAGGTTAACGCAACTCGGACTTTTAGGAGGAGGCAGTGCCAAGACAAACTGAAAATCAGCAAGGCAACAGGAAAACGGGGAGGAGAGGGGTATTAACACGCAGTGGTTCTCTGATGTTACAGCTGTCCCCTGAGGACAGTTGCTGGACTTTCTTTCTGGGGACTGGTGTGTATCTTGTCAATAGCTCTCCAGGAGCTCCAGTTCTTGCCATCTTGCCGCAGGCTGTGGACCCAGGTCTCCACAGCGGCCTCCTCCACCAGAGAGGAACCTCTCTGAAGCCCCAGTGCATGTTGTTTATTTGCGGTTCTGTGATCAGTAGCAGTGGGTGGGAGTGGCGAGCAATTACTTCTGGAAAGGACACAAGCCATCCTGCAACTATATACTTATAATCACCATGCAGTGAAAAACCTGACCTGTGCCTATTTCCATCAGTGAGTCATTGTGGGAGGCTGGAGTGGGTAGGGAACAGTTTAGCTTGGTCACCAGAAACCTTGGATGGGCTGGCTCTCAAAATTCTTCTTCCTTTTCAGGGAAAAAGCAAGAGGCTTTGTTGTCAGGACAATGACAGTTACCCCTTGGCATGATTTGCAAGCCTGGATTTAGCTTTTCGAAGTGCAGGCCCCACATAAATCGAAGAAATAAACACTGTCCCCTAATGGATTCACACTTGCAGCTCTCACGTCTGGTGGTAGGAATGAAGCACAGCCCCCGGCCAGGTAGGAATGTTAAAGCGATAACCTCTCAGAAGAGCCGATTGGGTCAATAATCCCCCCAGCAGCAGGTAACAAAAGGCTGCTTGATGAGCTGCAGACAGAGCTCCCCGCCAGAGGCCCCTAATGGTCACGAGTACATTCCCTGGTGTCTTCGTGCTTTTGTCCTAGAAAAACCTTTCCAGGCTCTGTGGGTTCCCTTCTGGCGCCAGCTCTCCAGGCAGGTGAGGGAGGGAGGGAGAGAAGGGCTCCCCTCCCCATGGCAGCCGGAAAGCATCTGCAGGGAGGAAGCGGGAGGAGCAGAGCTGAGTCCCAGCAGTGGGTGAATGGCTGTCCCGCAGTCCCCGGCCCAGCAGGACAGTGGGCTTGTGGGGGCTGGGGGGAGGCCTGGGACCCCTTGTCCCTGGGCTTCCAAGAAAAGAGCAGCAGGAGAGGAGAGAGTTGGAGGTGTGAAAGCTCAGCGCTGGCACCCGCACCTGTGTCTCCTCTCCCTCCCATCAGCTCCTCCACAGCCAGCACTGACTTGTAGGCATCCTTGAATTCTCAGCTTGATTTCTCCTCCTTTCTGAGGCACCTACGTGAAGTAGCTTCTTCCCACTTCTCCTTTTCTTCTTTAATCTCCGCTCCTTTCTATGCTTAGTTCCACTTGTGATCTGTTTGTATATTTGTCTCCGCTAGACCTGAGGGCCCCTGGAGTTGAGATGATGTCTATCTGGCTGGCCAGGTTGGTGTGTATTCAGCGTGAGTGAAGGGAGAAACTAACGGATCACACCCAGGACATCTCTCCCAAGTGTCCCTTCCATTGCTCCCAAATATTTTCCTGCTCTTCAACTGATACTCAAGGAAGGTCTTCTAGGTGTCTGGTGACCTAGCCGGGGACAAAGGGAATAAATGCTAACAAGTATAAAGCTCACCATGCGCTAGTCTCTCAAGGCACTTTTTATGTACTCGCCTAGAGCTCATGATTCTGTGAAACATGCATAATTATTATAATCCCCGTTTTACAGCTAAGGAAACTGAGTTTATGTGGCTTCCCTGAGATCACACAGCTAGTAAGTGGCAGAGGTGGGGTTAGGACTCGAGGGGTCCATCTGCAGAGACCACACCCCGTTACACTGTCAATCATTCTGTAGCAGCCAATGGGACTCCTCCGTAAAAGTGTGTCCGGAGGCTGAGGGGCTCCAGTGGATGCAATACCAGACCAGCAAGAAAACTCTAGGTAAGAATAAATGCATCCATCAGCTTGGAAAGGCTGGTTCCCACGTCTGCTCAGTAGGCTGTCATAGTCAGAATGGCAAGCAGCTTGAGCAGCCCCCTTCCGAAGTCCCCTCCCCTCAGACGTTAATATCGAAAGACAGGCAAAGTTGACGATAATTCACATTAAGATGTACAAGGCAAATGGCTTCATTTACCCTTCTAACTTCTAAAAAGGAACTTACTGACACACACACACATACACAAAGCCTCTAAAGAACTTGAGCAGGCTGTGGGATGAGAGACAGCTGCCCCAGGCCACAGAGACAGGCATCTGCAGACGCTGGCTGCAGACACGGGAGAGCTGGAGGGCGGGGAGGGGCAGGGGGCTGTTCTCCCAGGGCCCTCAGACCACCGTGCAATTTGTCACAAAGGTGACCCAATCCACAGAGCCCCCCTCCCAATGGGGCTCCCTAACAGGGTCTGACCATTTATACTCTCTGCAAAGTATTCACGTTTATTATTCTGGGGGACCCCCAAAAACAACCCTGTGATTGGGCAAATATATATATAAAGACAGGAGCATGTTTCCCTTTCAGAAAACTGTGCTAACAAACAGATGGCAGCAGAAGTGATGAGGTATCAGCCTCGGGGTGAGGATGGGAGTGGACCCTGCAGGCTGGGCAGCAGTGAGGTGGAAGCCTGGATGGGTAGGTGGGCCATTTTATGGAGGGTCCTAACAGTCAGGGAAGTTTAAATGCTCTGTTGAGTCTTTGAAAAACTTTGGAAGTTTTTGAACTAAGGGATGCCCATTTATTCATTCAATTGAACAAAGCTGTAATCACAGGTACTGCCACGGTGAAGAAGCCAGTCCCTGCCCGGGGTTAGCTCTTAGACTGGTAGTGGAGACAGGTTATAAGCAAGTAACTGCAACCGGCCCCCAACAAGTGTGCTAGCAGAGGAAGGCCTGTTAGTGGCACAAGCACAGGATGGAGGGCCCCCTCTGGGGGAGGGGCTGGGCTGGACCCTGCAGGAAAGCTTCCTGGAGAAAGAGATATCTGAACCAGGTCTTAAGAGAGAAATCCCTAGACAGAGATTGAACTCTAAGCACAGAAGTAGCTGAAGGTGGAGGGCAGGGAAAGGGCATTCAGGGCAGAAGGAAAAGCATGAGCCAAGGTTGGAGATGTGGGAAATAGCCAAGTGCCATTAAGGGATGCCAGTCTGTTGAAGTTATGGCACAGGGTATTTTGGGGAGAGTAGAGAAGGAGGGATGATGGTGAGAAAGGAAAAGTTTAGAAAGGCTACTGGGTAAAGGGCCTTGCTATCCATCACGGTTTGAAGCTTGTCCCAGACTTTCTCCCACAGCTTTCAGTGGACATGATGCCCCTCAGGCTGGCAGTGTGCCTAATGGGCTGAAGAGGTCCTGTGCGCTCATATGCTTAAGGAATCCTTGGGTTAGACATAGTTAGGGTTTTTTTCCATTTCCTGAATTTTCAGAGCCTAATATATTCTGAGAGGTTTTTTTTTCCCCCTGCATGAAACACAGTGTTTTATCATATAGGATAAAAGCCTTTGTAAGATTTGATAAATCTTTACCGATTAGTTTATTAGTCAGGGCTCTCCCGAGAAACTGAACCAATAGGATTCATGTATATTTTATATACAGAGAGATATAGATATCAATATCTGTTTATCTGTCTAGAGACTGACTGAGATTGAAGGAACTGGTTTACACCATTGGGGCTGCCAAGTCTGAAATTTGCAGAGCTGGCCAACAGGCTACAAGTCCTGGCAGGAGTTGATGGTGAAGTCTTGAGTCTGGAGGCAGAATTCCTTCCTCTTCGAGGGACCTCGTTTTTTTTCCCTTAAGGCCTTCAACTGATTGGATGAGGCCCACCCATATCATGGAGGGTGATTTGCTTTACTCAGAGTCTGCTGATTTAAATCTTCATCTAAAAAAACATTCACAGCCACATCTATACTAGTGTTTGAGCAAGCAAGTATACTAGGCTTGAGCAAGCCTAGCCAAGTTGATAAATAAAATTAACTAGCATAAGAACCCCTGAGGTACTAAACACTGGGGACACAGCAATAAACTAAAGAGACAAGGCAACTAACCCCCATGGAGCTTACATTCTATTTTTTTTAAATCTTTTTTTAAAAACAATTTTTTTGTTTGTTTTCTTTTTTGGGGGGAGGTAATTAGGTCTGTCTGTTTGCTTGTTTATTTATTTATTGGAGGTTCTGGGGACTGAACCCAGGACCTCGTGCATGCTAAGTATGCACTCTACCACTGAGCTATACCCTCCCCCAAGCTTATGTTCTTATCCAAGTCTGAATGTCAATTTCCAGGATGAGTTAGGGACAGGAGAGGCAGCCAGGCGGGGGAGAAGAGGCGGTGGGGGTCTGGGAAGCCAGAGAAGAGACTTGTGATAGCATGAAGGCATGAGGTAACGATGTTAAGATTGAGGTGGGAGCAGCGTGCCTGCAGTGGAAGGGGTTAACTGGAGGGGGAATGAATAGTAATATCTTGGGAAGGACACCAACTCTTCTTTTTATGGAGAAGAAAACTCAGGTCTTGAGAGGTGATATGACAAGTTAAAGATCTGGTGACATGGTGACATTCTTAACACAAAGCACTTCTTAACAGATTTGCATGGACGTCCTGGGGTACCCTGAATCACAGGTATGGACCAAATTTTAATCAGCATGAATTTCTTTATATATATATATATATATATATATATATATATATATATATATATATTTTATATAAATAAATATATATATTATATATAAATATATATATAAAACTCTCTCTATATATAACTAAC